GATGTTATAATTTTCGTATATGACTCATATTATGAGTCATGGGTCTCACTCAGGTGACGCGAGTTGCACACCTGACTTGGTTATTATGTTTTGATTGATTTTAGGTATGTTGCGCAGCAACTCATAGGAGTCAGCTGATGGATTTCACGTGACTCATAGTTATGAGTCACAGAGTTCGCGTGATGCAAGGTATGAGTTACGCCAGGTGAAGAGTGACTATCTAAAGGGTCACTAGGACCTCGAGTATGATCTCTTCATACGTTGTTCTTGTTTATTTCCTACCTTTAAGTTATTACAATAAAACCTACCTTTACACTCTTTAAGATTTATCTTAAGAAACCCAAGAATTGTCTTTCCTCCCACACAAGAAAACTATTTCTTGTCCCACATTAAACGATCAAGTCTTAAGCGAGGACTTGATAAAGGACTAGTGGAATAGACGCGATATGATAAAAGTCAAAAGGACTGGACTATCAGTATCGCATAGGCATCGGCCTAAGAACTATTACCTCGATACGAACTATGAATCATTACCTGTTGTACTACTACACCCGGCAGGATTCTTAACAATTTCTCATACACAATACATTTGACCTCAGATAACAATACAGCTTAGTAGAGGGTAGATAAGTATCTAATTTATAGTACTTTAAAGCTAGATGTCTCAAAGAAGGCTCCAAAAGATCTCTTAAAAATTGTGAGAAAGACAATGACCTGGAAAAGACTATCTCAATATTGCTACCTATAGATTAAAACTAGGTTGCTGTTGTCCCCACTATTTATTATAAGTAGCAGAAACCTAATATAATTACTAATAGCTAAGAACTGAGAAGTGTTTATAGTATAATGCTTCATTAGATAAGAGGGTAAGATAGGGAAAGATTATGGCTCTGCATCCTAGCTCTTATATAGATATTTTACTTGGAATAATTCTTTATAGTAGATGACCTGTACTATGTCCTAACTGTTGAAATATCTATAATTCATAATAAAATCGATAGTGTATATTGATTTTAGAAGCTGTCTTTCAGTTTATCAAGGGAACTCAATTCTCTTGATATGATACAAAGCATAATAAATGTATACCAAGGCTATAGTATCCTATAATACCTTTAAATTATCAAAGTAAAGGGTTTTTAAATATAAAATCTTATCTGTTATGCAGAGATTTAATCCATTATTCTAAATACTTTTTTTTTGCTAGTTTAAAATCCTATCCTTTAATTTTGCAAATAAAATCTGTATCTTTATATTGTATGTAAAAATTAATACTAAATCAGCATCATTTCATTCTAGATATAAGTTTTTACTCAACTGATACTACTACTACTATGCTAGAGAAAATATTGGAAAAACTTAGATAGCAGTATGAATTGAATATAAAACATATTATAAAATTTATTTTTAGAATTTGTAACCCTCTACCCTAATAATTTAGAGGTGTTACAGGATACAATAGCCTTGGTATACATTTGTTATACTTGGTATTATGGTATAGAAAAGACTTGGAGGTGCAAACCACTACTAAAACTTTGCAGAAGTAATTTATGATGCTCTATTTGAGCAGGCTTCAATAATACCATCTTGAATAATATAAACTATATTGAAAACAGAAAGGAGAGGATAGGAAGACATAATAAATCAGTACTTGTATATACCAACCTTCTGCCTCAACAATAGTTTTCATTTACTCTAGCATACTCTTAGTCAAATCTTCGAAATATATCTATATATACTTGGCGATTCATAAAGTATTCAGATGGTTTTTTTCCTTGGCGCCAAGCCATTTGGGTGGCACGAGTGATTGGCCATGATGCTGGAAAAACCGCAAATCATATAACTTTTTAAATGAATATACATGCAAAAAATCTTTAAAACAAGTACTAGGCTTCATATCTATTGCCACCAGCCTGCTGAATACATTGCTCCATAATTTTAGGAAGCTTTGAAATCTCCCGATTGATTTCATCAATCATTATCTTCTCCCACTCCTCCCGAAGAACTTCAGCCATTACCGTAGGAGTTCGGATTCGCCCGCAACCTTGATGCCGTAATATCCGATACTTCATTAGCCGCCAAATTCGCTCAATGGGGTTGAAGTCAGGCGAATTTAGTGGCCAATCAACCTTTTGTATGCCCTCTTTCTCCCTTTCCCGGTTGGTGAAGCCAGCATCGTGAGCTGGCGCGTTATCTTCCATGAGTAGAAAGCTAGAGTTTACTAGTACCCGCTCCCGGCATGTCAGCCATAGAATAGGGACACAGAGCTGGTGGATGTACCACCAGGCATCTACTCCCTTTCCATCTCCCTGCTTGATTTTTTTTATTTTGTATTTTTTCCCCCTCTACGATTAAGTTGTTTTTACCTTATTCCTAGCCACTTTTGCCACAATCCGAGCTTGCCATGCTTCCCTTAGCTCTCACTCCCACAAGAGCTTCCACTCTTCTGACCTCCGGCACCCACTATTCAGCCTTTCCTCCTCTTCTACTGAATTCTTATTCAGCCTTGCAATCTCCTTGATTGCATGCTCCCTCTCCTCCGGAGTCTCTGCTCAGGCTGACCAAACAAAAAAAGGTCCCTTCCATCCCCACATCACTATTCCCCAGCACATTACTGCTTCCCCTTGTTTTTTCTTTGCTCCCACGCAGTCATCATGCCATTTCTCACCCGTTTCCCTCCAAACATGATTGAGCCCGAATACGGCTCCAATTTCTATAAACATTTCATCTGTAAATGCATTGTTTCCCCAATTCTTTTCCACCTCCCAGCTCTTCCTTTCTATGCAATAAGTCTATAAGGTAGGATAATATTTAGTTAGTATTTGCTTTTCATTGATTTTTTTTTTTTTCATTGAGTTGGAGATTTACCATACGCTTTACTTTACATTCTGGATTCAGAATGAATTTAAATTCCTCCCTATAAGCCCCAAGCCCACGCTCCATCAAGGCATTAAACACTGTCCCATTACATACATGGGATAATCCTGCCTCCTGCTGGATATCGACAAGCTTCATCCTTTTTGTCATAAAATTCCTTTTTACAAAAGCAATAAGGTGATTCTTTTCTTGCTCAGTAAGAGCCGCAGGTCTTCCACTTCGAACGTTTGGGTCTAAAACCTTTGCTGAAATTAATTTCAGCAAAGAGAAAGGCCTACTGACATCATCATTCTCCTCCTTGATTCGTTGCTTGTGGGCATTTTGAAGAGTGTGACGCCAGATATCGTTTGCCATGGATGCCGAAACGCCAGTTAATTTGCACATTTTTTCATAGCTTACCAGCTTTTCAAAGCTTCGAAAAGTGATTATTGCAGCCCGCCGACATGGAGTAATTTCTTTGCCTTCAATCCTCTAAATTACTGATACCTTCTCAAACAGGAATCTGATCCTACTCACCTCGCACCATTCTCTCATTTTTACTATTTTGTACTACAAGATTGGTGAAGTGCATAAGTACAGGCAAAGTACTAGTATCTTGGAAGACGTGGCCCCAATTTCCAGCTAAGGCTTGGCGCCAAGGAAAAAAACCATCCGAATACTTTATGAATCACCAAGTATATCAGAATTTAATAACTCTAAACAATATTCTATAGTATTTGAAATTTGTATTATATTTTTAATAGCTACCCAGTATACTTGAAATTTGATGAGATAGGATGAATTTTCTCAAAAATTTATTTTATCCTAGTCCAAGAATATTGAATAGGACTTGAGTTAGGAGAATAAGGGAAGTCATTTGAAATATAACTTGGTATGTACTCGTGCCAGCCAATTTTCCATTGTGGAAGCATTTCTCATCTTGGTTTAAATACTTGGGTCTGACCTCTTAATACTTCAAACATCCTCTATATATATATCTTATTACTTCAAATTCAACTTAATCAATCCTCTATAGTAAAATATTTATCTTTTCTAGCTTATACTAACTGCTTAATTATATCATTTTCTTTAATTTCAGAGCAAGAAGCAGCCAACCACTTCCTCATATCCATCTCCTTAAAGTCTCTCTTGAATATAGCTACCTGGAGAGAATTACCAGGAATAATGTTTTCATTAATTTTAGCCAACATGATACAATCCTTCAAGTTTTTTATAGTAGCATCTAAATCCTCCAGTTTCACTTCAACTAATATTATTCTTATAAATACAGTAGTGTTGAAATATAATACTTGCCACTTCATCCTTCTCCTTTGCTGTTTTGAAATTTTGCCCTTCTTTTTTTTTTTTCCTTCAGGTTGGATTCTAGCTTCCAGGATGGAAGCAGAGTACTAGTTGAATCAGTATTCAGATGTTTAGAGGCACCAGTTTTTGCCTGTATTTTCCGAACTGACATTCCAGCATCTTTAAGGCCGTCTAGATAACCTTGCTCCCAGAGCGAACAAGTTGATATCTCTGTATGAGAGATTTTTCGAAAACACCATAGTTGTGGTAAGCATGCAGGAGATGATGAATGAATTCTGTACTGTACAAGTACTCGTACCTACTTGTGATGAGTTGCATTGGTGGCAACACAGATCCTTGCACTGTACAGTAATTTACCTCTGTTCTACGTTACTTTGAGCCCCGTGGATACAGTACTCGGGTATAGAGGTAAGTGATGGGAAAGGCAGGGGTTTGAGGTCCCCGTGCTCATGACCGTAAGAGGGAAAAAATTATTTAATTTGGTAGGCACAGCTCTAAGAAGAGTAAAAAGCTTTGAAATCTCGAACCCCTGTCTTTCCCATCACTAACTTCCACCCCCGAGTACGTAGTGCAGTGCTCGTCACTGCAGACTGTGGGGCTCCGGGTGCAACGGTGCGGTAAGTTACGGTACGGTTGAGAACTCTACCGCAGCGAATTGAGCCAAACCTGATCTCGCCAAGCCTTAATAGCAGCCCAACCATCACCAACCACATGCACCACAAGTATAATAGCTCCCTAAATTACCTGCCCGCCTCCCTCCTAGCTCTAACTCGGTCTCCTGCTGACAAACACCTCCCACAACCGCGACAACAACAAACGAGATAATGTCCTCCCCCCCCTCCGTATCCTCCCCACCATTCTACCCCTCAGGCTCCCACAAGCGCAGAATCTCGGTCACCGGCTCCTCCTTACCACCGCCCGCCGCGAAAAAGCCCAAGATCCCTCCACCCCGCAAGCTCTCAAACTTCGCGCAGCCCTCATTGCACCCGCTCCGCCAGACCTCCTTCCCACCCGACCCACCGCCACCCGGTGCGAAGGAGGACGAAGAAGACGACGATGGGCGGGAGGATGATTACGGAACTTCCACCGTGCTCGCGGAGGGCGCCACGGGGAACTTCGGGGGGGAGGATGATGAGAAGATCAAGCTCTCGTGAGTGGCCCCCTTCCAGTTGGATTGCGCGCGCCGGGGGTAGGCGATTCTAATGTGGCGCAATAGTGTACTCCTCGACTCCTTCGACAACCAGCAAACACAACGCTACGAGGCCTTCCGTCGCGCGAATCTTAACAAAGCCGCCGTCAAAAAACTTGCCAATCAGGTCCTCTCGCAGAGCGTCACGGCTGGGGTCGGTACGGCGATCTGTGGGTTCTCGAAGGTTTTTACGGGAGAGATTGTGGAGCTTGCGTTGAAGGTTCAGAAGGAATGGGCGGATGCGGACGTTGAAGGTGAGGGGACTGAGAATGTTCGGAAGAGGACAAAATCGGATGGTAGTCTTGGTCCTCTGCTTCCGGATCACTTAAGGGAGGCCGCGAGAAGGTACAGGCTGGAGCTCCGTGGGGCTGTTGGCTTTAGAGGATCCATTGGGGGTGGGTGCGGGAATGCCCTTGGCGCTGGCCCGGGGGTTGGTGGTGAGGGTGCTATCGGGGGTGTGGGCAGATTGTTTAGATAAATTTCCTACAGCATTATTACATTTTCCTTCCTTGGGGAGTTGGGTTTGCTTTTACTCTTTTTTTTCTCTCTTTTTTCTTGCCTGGGATTGCTTTACCCAGGTAGATGTTTTGCGCCGCGCTTAATATTCGTACCTAGCCCTGCACTGCGTATCCGCAAACTACAGGAGCTCTTTTGATGTGTCATTGAAGGCGAAACTATAACGCTTGCCCTATTCAGTTTCTATAGTGGAACTGCTGAGAACTCTGACCACCCATTCCCATTTTGGCCAATGATAACACATAGTACTGGACACATACGAGATCGAAAGAAAGCCATAGCGCCTTTCACAGCTAGCGTTTTTTTTTTTAAAAAAAAAAAAACACCCAAAGAGCGAAACATGAAATGCGAGCAGGTTGTAAGAACATTAGAGAATTCAGTTAATTCGCCAGTTAGTTTTTTTCCATCCGTGGAAAAGGAAACAAGAAGTCTATGCCCACTTTTGCACAACAACCACCCTGGCCAAATTCGCATCCTCAATCGTTTGCTCCATATCCCTCAACTCCTTGATGGGGGGAGTTGTCTGCAGGAGATAGGACCTGGTTCTGCTCTCCGGACTTGCGCCGTTGACAAAGCCATAGAGATCTCCAACGGTTTGGCTGTGATTAAATCTGCTCGTCAACATCGTTCCATCGCTCAGCCGAATCCGCAGGGTGATATCAAGCGCAGAACCACCAACTGGGGGTGCCGAGGTCGAGGCAGGGACTGTGGGAGTAGCAGGAGAAGTGACAACTGGCGGGGGCGCTGTGGAAGAGGACGGTGCACCGGGAGTAGGAGAACCAAGCCTCTGCCCGGTACCACTGAAAGGAGCCCACTTCTTCTTTGTTGGAACATAGTCCTCATCCGTACGCCTGAAAACATTGACATCTGCCGGCTGGCCCGGTTCAACATTCATCAAACTTAATGGGGCGCGTCCATTCCGGATTGCATGGAGAACATCCTGATTCGCAGGGTCATCGTAATGCATTAATGGCCCATCTTCGACACTGAAACCGTCACGCCAGAAGGTAAGGGAGCGGGTAACAGTAGGAATTTGGGTGGGGCGTCTTGCGGCATCGGGGTCGGGAATTTCGATGGACTCGGTGTCATCACTTCCTAAAGTACGACCAGTACCAGTAAAACGTGGGCGGGAGGGGCCGGCTTCCTCTTCCTGCGGGCGTGGGGGACCCCTACTCAAAATCAGCGCCGCCCCCACAGAGATGCCTATGCATAGCGGGAAGGCAGAAATACATACTCCGCTGCACGCTTGAGAATATCCTGAACGATCTGCCCCTTGTTACGAAGATCGCCCGGATTCTGGACAGCTAGGCCACTACCGTTACACAAAAATCCATATTAGCTGATTAGCTCATGTAGTGGTGTAGCAAGCAGAGCGAAGGTGAACTCCCTTCCCCAACACTTACGATTTCTCACCTCCAGCAAACAAGTCCTGCTTCTCATCGTCAGAATTTTCGTCCTCTTCGCCATCCTTACCCTTCAAATCACCGAGAGTAGCAAACCTAGAAGATGTCATCAGATCAGAATATGAATCCGACATCACCGTAACCGCTCAAAAGCTGGGGGGGGAAGGGCAAACACCCCATCCCCCCACGAGGGAAAAGGGACCGAGCTTCACATACTTGGATTTGGAGCTCGAAGCAGTGGCAGCCCCTGGTGCTTGCCTTGGCGGATCGTAAAGAGCCTCACTTCCGTCGGAGTCAGAGTCGAGATGATGATGGAGGGGACCGGTAGCATCCTCGTCGTTAGCTTCGAAAAACTGTTCGGTCGCAGACTGCACGCCACCCAGTCAGATTATTCACCCCCCAAAGAACCATGGACCCAGCAGGGGAAATAAAAGCAATATTCACCTCAATGTTCCAATTTGAAGCTTCGAGAAAATGACGAGCCTGGCGGATGGAGCGGGTCAGCAAACACAGGATCCGAAACACAGTTGACAATTTAGAGTATGTATGGTAGCAAACCTGTTGAGCATCGGAACCCGTAACGGCGCAAAAGTTTTGAATCAGAGAGTCTTGATCAGACATGGTGAGTGAGCTTTGAATGGATGCTTCGAAGAAAACTCTTCCAACCGTCTATTCCCGAGTCAAGTAGGGATGAGAGTGTTTGATGGAACTTGATGGAAGGTTGTGTGTGGGTGGTGAGGGAGGGTTAGTTGGCTACGGTAGGTGTTGAAGCAGAAGGGCAGAGGGGAGGGATGCAGGATGGAGGAGGGGTCGAATCACTACGGCACCGGTTCCAGAGCACCCGCATGAGCCAACGTTTAGATGAGGGTGCCTGGTAAGGTTAAATTATACCGATACTTGTATCATATATGGTGAGCGAGAGAGAACGCAACGCCCGTTACGGTAGTCTATAGTCTATGTTACAGCCAACAAACGGGAGGAGATGTTGGTGAACAGTGTATGGTAGTGATCTACCGGTATTGCCCGAGTTTCCTCGTTTACAACCCCGGAAGCGGTGAGGCGGGTAAATTTGTGTCTCCAAAAACACTTGGAGGAGACGGGCAAGCTGATGAGTAAGATCTTTGGTCATCCACTTCGGGCCCTGCCAACGGAATGCATAGGGTACGGGTATCATACAGTTCGTACGAGTACGGCAGCCGTACGAAGCGTTGCTGCCACGCGCCAGAAAGAGGGGAGGGTCATGCATTGGCTGAGCAGGGGTGCCACGCATACCGGAGCATTTTGCACATCTTGGCAACTTCACACCGGTCTGGTGAATCCGCAGGGTAACAGTGCATCCCCGCACACTATGCGCGGATGCTAGCGCAATCTTGGATGCTCAGCATGGCACTGTTCATGTGTCCTACTCAACGCCAATAATCGTGGGGAAATTGTACCATACTCCGTGATATACACACCTCCCCTTGCCATCCACGCTAGGAGAGGCAATGCTGGCCTCGAGATTGATATTGAGGGCTTCCTCCTCCTCACCAGCCGCCTCAATTGCCCTCCGGCGAATTCCACAATCCGCATCTTCGAGAAAGGTATGATATACTCCCCCCAACTCAGATTCATCCCAGACAAACATGCGACTGATCTTCCCCCCCCCTAAAAAACACACAGTTCTCCTCCTTTGTGTTCCCAAGATCCTCCCGCCTCCCCCGACCGCTCCCCACGGAGACCTCCCCAAGGCTCCTCCCGTTCACTTCTCTCCGCTTCAACTCGACCTCCGGTACAACCCCACCACCCTCCGAACCCACCTTCCTCCCGGAATACATACCAACGGCCCAATCCGTCTCGACCCCGCTCCCAACGACCGAGCACATCGGCTTCCTCAAGGAATTTGGCCTGGACTATGGCCACGGCTTCACAACTCTTGTCCAATCCCTCATTGAGCATGTCCACGTCTACACCGGTGTACCCTGGTTCGGCACGATAATACTCAGTGTGGGCGTGCTCCGTCTGCTACAATTCCCCTTCTACCTAAAAATGTCCGACACAGCTGCCAAGATGAAAGAGCTAAACCCCTTCGTCATTCCCATTACCAAGAAAATGCAGGACGCGCAGATGGCGGGCGACAAGTTAGGCATGTTGGAGGCCAGGGCCGAACTCACGCAAGCGTACAGCCGCTCGGGAGTCAAGCGCCTCTGGCTGTTTTTCCCCATCTCTCAGATCCCCGTCTTCTACGGCTTCTACAAGAACCTCCACGGCATGTCCGATATCCCGATCCCTGGCCTGACGGAGGGAGGATTTAGTTGGTTCACGGACTTGTCCGTCGCTGATCCCTTCTACCTCCTCCCTATGGCCACCAGCGCCGCACTGTTCACCCAGCTCTCCTTGGGAGGCGAAGCGGGAACGAACTTGCAGACAGAGAAGATGAGGAAGACTATCCTGATTGTTTTGCCACTGGCCACATTTGTCTTTACTAGCCAATGGCCGGCGGCACTCACTTTCTACTTTCTGTGTAACTCTCTGTTCTCATTAGTTCAGACAATTATACTGAAGAATGCCTGGGTTAGGGAGGTGTTTGGGCTATATCCTATGTCAACGCAAGTCGTGCCAAATCCGCTAGAGGCATTGCCTTTCAAAACCATGCCGATCCCCACCTCTGCTCCCCCAGAGGGGGTTAGGCAAATTGGTGGAAAGGGCAGTTGGATGGACCGCATTACCGGTGGTGGCAGCAGCAACACCAATGCGACAAAATCCGACAATGGCGGATTCTTGGGAGGGGTGTTAAACAAGGTATGTATGACAATAACTTCCCCCAACACTGCTCCCAACCCCAATGCGCTACAAGAGCTGACAGGGGGAAAAAAAACTAGGGCGGGGACAAAGCAGCCCACGAAGCATACGAAGAAAAGCGCCAGGCAAGAATAGCCAAAGAGCGAGCCGCTGAGCGGGAACGCCGCTTAAAGAAAAAACGGATGCAAGAACACGGGCAAAATTCAGTCTAGATAGAATATCCCCCATAGACGATGCACTAATTCCCAATCCATCTATCTTCCCCATTATTGTACCTCGCTCTCAATGTTCAATGTCCGCTTCATTCCGCAAAAGTGTATATAACCTCCACTACACAAAACAAGCAAACAAACCGAAAAAAAAAAGGGTGCGGGGGGCCAAGCTCCAATTCCCATCTCCGTATTTACATCCCCCATTTGCAATCACCCCATCCCTACTCCAAATCCGTAAGCCTCCCCAAAGCCCTATCCCCGCCCTCGCCCTCGTCCCCGCCCATCATCTGCTTTACCCCTACCTTCAACCCCCGGCGCCGCAACACGACTAGATGGAAATACCTAGCACAGACACACCTGTAAGCTTCCCCACATTTCAAAGAATCATGGGAAGAAAGGGGAAAAAAGAAGGAGGGGAAAAAGCAAAACAAACCCGAGTACCCCCCCACCCCCACCGAAATGCAAGCTCGTGCGCGAACAGTTCCCCAAAGCCCAGCATGAGACCGTTAATGAAGGGCAGGACAAGATTTATCGCGGCGGTGCGGAGGAGTTTCTGGACGCTGGGCGGTTTGTAGAGGATTACGGGGGAGGAGGTGGTGGTGGGGGAGGAGGGCAGAGGAGAGGGGGAGGTTTGTTCGCTGGACATTTTTTTGCCTCGCTTTTCGTTCGACCGGTTAGTTAGTTGTGACGGGTGGTGTGAGGTGTGAGGTGAGGTGGATTGAATCGAGTCGGTGAGATTCCGTCCGGCACAGTAGTTTTTTGGATGGATGGATGGATGCGTTGGTTTGGTAGTTTATGTAGACTTGTCACGCTTGGCCGGTTCGGTCGGTCGGTTGTAGACTCAGTTAGAGTTTCTGCTCGGTTATGATAAGGAGGGCGTTGGAAGATAGGGTTGTTACCCGGCGAGGCGGGGTGGGTGATGCGTGATGTGACGTACGATATTTGTCATGGGCACTCACTCGGTAAGACACTGTTTGGGAATAATTGGGACCCTTCGAGTAACATAGGCCATATGATACAACGGGCACCCTGTATTTGTACCGCTCCTCGATCGTGGTAAGGGAGTACGGTAGCATACCCAGCATTGTCCATAATAAAGCGTAGAATACACTTGAGGGAAAAAAAAAGAAAGAAAAGGATAGAAATATGCTCGTAGTGGAGGGTGAGAAGACCTTACCCCTGGTCTAACAAAACACATACAAAACCTCAACGCAGCCAAAGAAAGAAAGTAAAGTCAATATCATACTAGTCACGATCCGCCGCACCGCCGGCAGAAAGAAAGAAAGAGAGAGAGAAGGGAGTAAATGATGAAGAGATATGATACTTTAGCGCCCGGCCCGGTCGGACAATTCATGACGATGACTGGAGGGAAGTTTTTTTTTGGTGATGATGGGATAAGTGGTGGTCCTGCTTCGTTTGGTATCATATTTGAATGTTTTTTTTTTCATTTTCATCCATCCTTATTAATGATAAATCGGACCTGCTGCTGCCCTCGGACTTACTTCCAAAATCCGAAGTATCACTAAGTTTGCTTGTTTGCTGGAGGGTTCTCTCTTCCCACCAATGTCAAGTTTTTGATAACTGAGAACTTTGACGACCTCACTGCTTATCAGTCGGCGTGGTTGGGTTTTATTCTGTTTTTATTTTGCCGAGTAAAAACTAACTAACCTGGGTGGACGGTAAAAACATGCATGATTGATAGATGATTGATAGATCGGGAGCGGGTGATTTGCGTAAGGGTTGTGAGGGTACTGTACTATTGATTGGTACTCGGCTACCATATGTGGTCATTTCTAAAGGTTTGCTGCGAATCCACCGAGGGATATCTTTGTGAAGCCCTCCTTCAAGGAGGTTATACCGAGGCCATCTCGGAAATCATGTTCTCATGGTACCGTGATGAGAACTTTGGGGCTTGGTCGTTAATAAGGAGTGGTCTATCTAGGAGGGTTGCACTCTCCACTTGCTGGTAAGATTTTCAAAACCTAATTGTTTCACACCAATGATTTTCTCACTCCAAGTCAATGAGTGCTCCCGATTCCGTAAAAATTCCCGCAACCCCAATCGCCCCGAGTGAGAAACCATGACCGTTCCCATTCCTGTAGCACCCATAAAGACACGCATTATCACTGGAATAAAAGGAAAGCTGATGAAAATTCATATTCCCATTTTTGTCCTGGAACAAACCTCATCCCTCCAAGAACCTCGAAGCCGTATTAATCGCTGCTGCAGTAATTCCCACATACTTTGCAGCCTCCTCCAGATTACCCACTCTGACTGCCTCTGTGATCCCTGGGAGCGTGGTCGGTGCATACCCCGTTTCCAGCCCAGGTGCGTAAATCACTAAGTTACCCATCAGTTTCCTGTTCTGACCGATCCCCCCTCTGGAGGAGAGGGAAAAACCTACGGTGCTTATAAAACACCCTCCCCGGCAACCCGTTGCTAATAAACCCCCTTTCAAACTTCCCTAACCTCTCGTTCACAGTGGTCTCCTGCGCGCCACTCCACTCGCCTGGTTTCAGCGCCTCCTTTATTGCCATGAGGTCCCCGGCAGCAACGGCAAACCTACTAATTGCGGCTTCCAGCGGTGACACATCTAGTGCTATTTCTGCGGTCGCAATCTCCTCTTTCAGGTCTGAGAGCATGGATTGTAGGGCTGTGGAGAAGGTGGTGATGTTGTAGGGAAGGAGGACGTTCTCGGATATTCGCAGGACAGTCTTACCGGCGATTTGTGCCATTGTGGAGTGGTATGTGAAGTACGGGTCGCCCCAGGTGGTCATCGAAGTGTAGCTATCGTAGTTAGAGTGGTAATGGTATACCGGGTCCTTAGGACCATTTTTGAAGCCGAAGTAGATCTGGGTAACTTTAATGGGGCATTTTTTTTTATGGAAAGCAGGGAGGAGGGGGCTTACAACGGCAACTCCGGAAGTGTGAATAAAGGCCGCAAAGTCGGTGCCTGTGCCGGGAACTTGAGATGGTGTTAGGCGATGCCTTTATATTTTGGATTTGGGGGTGGTGTACCACTAGCTTCACTCCCATCTGTAGTCCATTCATCATAGATAATTTTTCCTGGCATTTTCGGAGACGGGACTTCTTTGATTGTGTCCTCGACCAAATCCCAGAGCTCGGGTACAGCAATAAGGCGAAAGTGTGGCCCGGAAACAGCGACATCAACATTGACATACGCAACTACATTCGGTATAGCCCATTTCACGAATTCTTCAACCCATTCTGTTGAGCCGATCATTCCGTATTCTTCGGCGTCCCATGATGCCAACACGCTATTTCGCTTAGCTAGTGACCCGTGGGAAAGGGTGAGGGGAAACTTGCATGGTACGTTTAGGCTTCCATCCAAGTTTCAAGAGTTCGCCAAACGCCTTAGATAGCTCCACCAACACTGCTGTTCCAGAACCGGGGTCCGAGGCCCCGCCTGGATAGGTGAGAATGTAACTGGGTGTTGAAATAAATTATTATAACATACCAACAGTCCAAGAATCTCTATGATTCCCAATAACAATAACCTCATCCTCGATGGTGCCATTAATAATGCCAATAGTGTTCCATATAGGAGTGTAAGCATAATCCACCTCATTCTCAAGGCTAATAACAGCTCCAGGTCTTGGACCAACGGAGTAAGAGACGTTGAGGCCTCCTATCCAGTCAGGCCTGTCCACCTCCTCTGCAGTCAAACCGTAGCCGTCAAGAGCTCGAAGGAATGGGAGAGCGTCTTTAAAGGATAATGGCAATGACGGGATTGAGGGGATGAACCCGGATGGGTCACCTCTTTTGACACCGGGTTTAGAAGGGTATCCCGGAGTTGTCTGTTCATTCTCAACATTGCATAGAGTAATGGGTTAGAAGATTATGACCAACCGGATCTCCTGTCATGGTGGCTGGAAACATTACGGATCCGCGCTGCACTGGAGACGGATTCCTTGCGGGGCCAGCGGGATATGCGGCATATCCGTTTGCCTCTGTGATCTCTCCATCATCCCCGGGGTCAGAGTAGATTAGTACTCCTATCATTCCCTGTTCCTGGGCATACTTGACCTTAAGGGCTCGGAAGGCTCCACCATACTTTGCCAGTGCGATCTTCCCTTTCAGATCGACCCCGAGGTCAACCAACCTCTGGTAATCCTTCTTTGCACCCATTCTGCCACCTAATCGCTTAGCCGCCCCCAAGTATGATATGTATAAGAGAAGCACCCACCCCACATAAATATACTCCGCCTCGGCGCTCCCGCTCTTCGAATACCCATGGAAGGTTGGAACCCTATCCGTCGCACCAGTCGTCGGATCCTCCGGGAGAACATCCTCCTCCAATCCCGCCACAAACCTCTCCCCACCCTCAATTTTCAAGCTCAGCGAGTGAGAAAGTGGGTAATTCAGGTAAACTTCATACTCCACCAAATGTGACGGAATCCCATTCTCGATCCATTTATCCCGCGTCCACTCCGCCATGGACTTGTTCGTCCCCGCGAGGTGATTACCATGCGTACAGTAGTAGGACCACTGGGCGATGGTGGTATTACTAATGGACTTGGTTATGATAACCTCCTGCTCGGGCAGTGCCAGGTTTGAGTATCCGAGGACTGGCCGACTATCGTGAGGAGGAGGGCCATCGTTCCCTAAGCAAGGCTCGAATGGGCAGTCGTTGTTTGGATGGCCGTGGTTGCTGTTATCGTGGTGCTTTCCCGGGAGCTGGGTTGCACTTTGTGATTGGGAGTAGCGGTAGTGAATGTTGTTTATTGTGAACCAGGCGGAGTAGCCCAGTAATAGGAGCAAGACAGGGGGCCACTTGCTCTTGGATAACTTGCGATCGAGCTTATGCTTTGTCTTTGCAATACCTTCGGCTAATACCATACCTCAGTTAGAAGGAATACTAGTACTGCCTCAGGGAATAAATGCAACAAATAGGGGCTCACTAATCTCCTCATCACCCCCTCCTCCAAGTTTGTTCTTTATTGGAGCCGCCACTATTTTAGCCATTCTCTCTACCTCTGAGAAAATTAGTGAAAAATTGAAAGATGAGAGACCACCCTTCGCAGAAAGACCTGCCACCGTGCACCTACTTGTAAAGTACGGGTACGGTGCTCGGCCAGAGTTTGTAGTATTAATGATCCCTATTTTACAACGCAACCGATCGCAACCCAGCCATCCCCGTACAGAATAGTGCGTCCTGTTCTGCCCACGGAGGTTTCGCAGAACGAGAGGTACTAGTACCGTGGCGTGGTCTTGGCGGCAACGAAACTGCCTCTGCGGGGGTATGGTGCGGTACCTCCGCAAAAGTGTTGGTGAAATGGGCTTTTCACACCAAAAACATTGATTTTTGGCAACCAGCGGTTTAGGAACCACAAAAGATTTTACAACTGGACTTCTAGTATGTAGTTGCAATAATCCCGCCCCACTCCTACACAACTCTTAATAGCTTTGGAGAAGAATTGGAAGAGTTATGCAGTCCTAAAGTTTTGACTTCACTGAAAAGCTTCATACAAAAATGGCATAGCAACGGGTATTGTCACCTTTTGAGACTAGTAGCTTAGCCATAGAATAAATTGATGAAATAAATGGTGTCAGGTAAAAGCCTCAGTGAAGCTGAAAATAATTATATAGGTTGTGAGAATTATTTGAAGCAATTCCAGGTGTGGGGGTTGATCAAACCTGCCAATTTTTGGTGTAGAAGGGTCGTTTCACCAACACTTTTGCGGAGGTGCTTTTGCGGAGGTACAGTATTACGAAACGCATTTTGGGAAACTCTCAAAGGACCCTTTTTCGCGCGCTTTCCCTTCCCGGACCGTTTCACGCAGGTGGTTGGCTTACCGAGCATGTCTCGTATGTTTTATGAGCTTTTGGGATGACAAATTGCTCAAACGGCGGAGTCATAAGGCCCCTATGCTCTCTCCACTTCCCTACCAGATCTCACCCGTCACGCACACACACACCCATCTCTCCAAGACCCGAATTCAGTTGTCAATTCACTTTGGACTAGAAGAGTGTCCGGGTAGGGTTAGAAGAGTTTTGCAAAATTTTATGTGGGTTGCGTTCGCCACTCGCTAACTGGGCTTTCAAAATTTTGTTGCGGGTAGAATAGTTCACCCATGTCATCAAGTGCTCCCAATTCCGTAAAGGTTCCCAGTGTTGTAAAAAGTCTTGATTCGATTGCTCAACCATCCTTCTACTTCCTGCCCGAGCGGAGGCCTAATATACTACAAGTACATAGCGGTCACACTACACAACTATGGTAGTGATGAGGTGGTCATATTGGCTTCTGTATACCAAAGGTGTATGATGATGTTAACCACAGGTAACCAGATCTTGAGAAGCCACATATTCCAACACTCCCTCTCTTCGAAGGATCCATAGAAAGAAGGAAAATAATAATAAAATAAAAGGGAAAAGATGCCCATATTCTCCACATATAGTGCTTGTGTAACTTCATTAAAAACCTCCCTCGGGCCTTTCGGATAGGCAGCTTAAGGGTAGGAAAAGAGTGTCACGTACAGGTAGGCATAAGAGAAAAGAAAAGAAAGGAATCCAATTCAATATACAGTTAAGCTGCCTGAGGGAGACACCATCCCATGGCGCCCAAGTGTCTCCAGTATAATATCCGAGGTAGTACCTTAGTGAGGATATCCGCTATCATCTGTTTAGTAGGGCAGTATGTAATAGACACTTTTGTATTTTGTATAGCTTCACAAGTAAAGTGGTGTTTGAGGTCAATGTGTTTTGTGCGCTCGTGAAATTGGGGTCGGTTGCTAAGATCAATGGTGCTCTGGTTATCGACATTGATTTCTGTTGGAGGAAGAGGTTTTATTTGACTTAACTCTGAGTAAAGACCTCGAAGCCAAAGTGCCTCTCTGGTTGTTTCTGAACAAGCAATATATTCCAATTCAGTAGTCAAGAGAGCAACCATGGGTTGCTTCTTGGACCGCCAGGAGACTGCTCCTCAGCCATTAGGAAAACAAAGCCTCCAGTAGATTTGCAGTCTTGCGGATCTCCGGCAAAGTTGGCATCACTGAAGCCAATAAGAGGTGTGAGGGGTAGCTTGTCCTGGGCTTTCTCATATACCAGACCCAAGTGCATTGTTGCCTTTAGGTAGCGCAGAGTTTGCTTTGCTGTCTGGAGCTAGTGGCAAGTGGCATTTGCATTATACTTGCTAAGGTAGGCAATAGTAAACCCTAGATCCAGTTGAGTAGCAGTAGCGAGATACATAAGGCTGCTGACCAAAGACTGATATGTCTTCTGCTCCTGTGCAGAGATAGGATCATCCAAGTCCAGCGGTTGGGCTCCCAGCTCCAGAGGGGTCTGAACTGGATTGCAGTTCTCCATTTGAAATCTTCGTAGTATCGTAGAAATAAAGCATGATTGGCTTGAGGTAATAGACTTTGGTCCTTGGTTTATCTCAATGCTAAGGAAGTAAGTGGCTTGTCCTAGGTCAGTAATCTTGTACTTCCTACAAAGTAACACCTTCACCCGCTATATTTCAGATGGAAGCCTTGAGACAAGTGGAATATCATCTACATAGAGCAGTAAGAAGACATCAAAGCTAGAGGTATATAGGTTCGGGTCAGAGGACGAGGGTGGGAAGCCTATCGATTTCAGATATGTGTCAAACTCCTTATACCATAGCAGGGAAGCCTGTTTCAACCCATAGAGGGCTTTAAGTAGGCAGCAGACTACTAAGCTATTATCGCCTCCAGTGTCTTTGACTGCAGCTGAGTCGAGCCACTCAATCCCCTCTGGGAGAGCCATATACTCTAGTTCATCAATACCAGGATTCAGGAATGCTCCAATGACATCCATGTGATCAGCATGATATTTATTCTTTGCAGCAAGAGCCATTAACATGCACAGACTTGTCAGTCTTGCTACAGGGGCAAAGGTTTCTCCATATCCCACTTGCTCATACCTTTTGATCACCAGCCTTGTCTTTGCCTTCAATAAGCCATCTGGGAGAGTCTTTGTTTGGTATACCCATTTACACCCAATCACAGACTTGCCAGCTGCTGCTATTTTACATGTTGTTCTCTCATACCTCCAAGTACCAGGCTGCTTCAGGCTTTCAAATTCATCTCGTATGGCCTGCTGCCAGTGAGGATACCCCATAGCTTCATCATAGGTAAGTGGATCGTCACCTACTCCCATAGAAGGTATGGTACTTGTGAGTGCAGCAGTAGCTCTTTCTCTCAAAGGGCTGGAGCAGCGCTGCTCTACCTTCTCTAATACAGCTGAAGTATTTCTGTACTCCTTATAAGTCTTCTGTTATGGAGGCTGTGATTGGGCCTTTCTGGCTGGTGGAACTATTTCCATTGCTTCAGACCACGGCTCATTGCTCTGGCATGGCTCCACAACAGGATTAACTTCTCTACTCACTGGGGTCTCCAGGATTAGCTCTCCGGGCTTGTTATTTTCTTTATCCACTGTAAGTTCAGATTCTTCAACTTCTATGACTTCTGGCTTCTCTGGGAGTAGGGAACCAAATATGTCTTCAGAGTAAACTAGTGTGCTGGCTAGGTGGGACTCATCAAAGATCACATCTGAAGCACTTTCATATCGCTGTCCCACAATCGCCATATTGTAGTAGTTGCTGTATAGCCTAACATGATACAGCTCTTTGATCGGTTGCCAAACTTGGTATCCTTCAGCTGTACCTTAGAAATCCGCTTATAGGCTACACATCCGAATCCTCTAAGGTGATCCAGGGTTGGCTTGGTCCCATATAACATCTCATGGGGAGACTTGTTTCCAATTGAGCGTGATGGGAATAGTGAGTGTAAATAGACAGCTGTATTGACGGTTTCCGCCCCGAGTGGAGCAGGTAGGCAGGCATCCAAAAGCATAGCTCTAGCTTTGCAGAGTATAGTCTTTATCATTCACTCACTGATACCATTTTTGTGTTGTGAGTACAGTGGGGCTGGCTGGAATTGAATACCTGTAGCACTAAGAATCCTACAAAAGAAGGTATTATTGTATTCACCTTTTCCATTGTTACACCTAAACCTGGATATCTCCCACTGTGGGAATATCTTTCTTATCCTTTTGCGAAACTCTTGAAAGCGACTAGTAACTTCATTTGCCTCTTTGGTATGAAGGAAATAGACCCAACAGAAGCGCGTGTAGTTGTCTATATACACAATAAAGTACTGAGCTCCGGAGAAGGGGACGACTTAAAAGGGCCACACAAATCGGAATGGATGGTCTCAAAAGGCCTAGTAGTCCTTGGAACAGGCTTTTTGATAAATCTCTGGTGGTGCTTGGTTTTCACACAAGTCTCATAAATGCTATCAGCAAGCGGAGTTTTACAGTCTAGTATAAGCTTGATGGCAGCCAAATTCAAGTGTCCTAGTCTTTGGTGCCATAGACTAGCAAGTTCATTGTCCCTAGTAGGAGTAATACAGACCAAGAGATCGCTTGTAAAGTATTGAGTATTTAAAGAAGAGGGAAGAGCTAAAGTCGTACTCTTCTGACTTTCGACTAAGGATTGGATTGCGGGTGTCCAAGACTTTAGAATGGGATTACCGTAGAGTCTCCATAAGCCTTGCCGTAGTTGCGTAATTGGGACTTTCTTGGATCCTATTTGTTGGCGAGAAATATAGCATATACCTTCCCAGAAGGCAATTGCAAATTCGCATGACAGAGAGCTGATTGAGAGGTGAGAGAACTTCATCTTATGTGAGTAGAGTGCTTTAATATTGATATAATGTGACTTGCATAGGAGTAGCTGAATTGTTCCTTTTACTTTAGCCTATACTTTATTTCCATCGCCCAGTGTGATGGCCACTGGCTTGATAAGAGCTTTCAGTTAGTAGAAAGCACGTCTCTCAGGACAGATGTGGTCAGTTGCTCCCGAGTCTACTACCCAGGTCTTTGGCAACTCTCTCCTATTTCTACCAGTTGCAACTAAGGCACATGGTTCTCCAATATCCACGGTAGTATAGGCTGCAGTCGGTGCCGGGTACCTTTTCTGTCTTAGCTCTTCTGCCTGCATTCTTAAGTGGCATTCATGCTGGGTATGGCCTCTCCGAGTACAATACCAGCACTCAATACCACTCTGGTTCTCACTTGTCCAACCTCTTCTATTTTCAGTACTATGTGCTCCTTGCCTAGGTCTAAATCGTCCTCCATCTCTGCTACCACTTCCGCGTCCTCAAATACCACAGGGTGATCTGAAGTGGTGCGTATTACTTCTTGAAGAATTGGTGAAGAGGGTGGCAGACTGGCTACTGGCAAGCAGAGCAGTACTGGCAGAGTCTGCAGAGCTTGTACCAGAGACTTGACTCTTCTTGTTTGAGAGCTCTGCTTCCCGTTCCACAATTCCAGTAACAAAGTCATCTGCGGTAAATTCTAGGTTGCGGGACATGATTTGAACGATGGCGTTGTACTCATTTGGAAGGTTTGGAACGAGTTGTGAGATGAAGGTTGAGTCAGTAACCTCTTCTGTAGATCCAGCAAGTTGCTGGCGTAGTTTAGTTAGCTCAGTGATAAAAGCAGTGACGGAGGTAAACTGTGATAGAAGAAGGCGGTTAAAGTGTCCTCTCAGGGCAAACCGTCCTACTCTTGAGGCGGCAGAGTCATATTTCGCTTTCAAGGTTTGCCACATATTCCAAGGTTCCATAGCAAGATTGATCTGCTAACAGGTCACTGGACCACAAGAGGTAAATATCATAACCTTGGCTTTTACTCGACATTCTTCCCAAGTGGCATGGCGTGGAGCTGGATTCGCTAGAGACTCCTCTTCCTGTTGCGTGACAATCTAAAATGCACATTCAATTTCCAGAGAGGCTTGAAGATCTTAGGACCACCGATGGTAATTGGTTGGAATAAACACATATGTTTGACCATACTTGCATCAATAGATATTTTTCTGCGAAATACCATCTGCACTTGGGCTGTGTATGCTACTCGACATCATATGATGGCAACACTTTTCCCTAGGGAACTAAATGTGCAGAGGAACAGTGACTGAAATGGAAAACACCGGATGCCGGAGGGTGGAGGACACTGAGGTAGCGTTGCAGAACGCACTAGTGAGAGAAATGGTACAGGAATTTTGAGGAGTGGAGATGGATAGTGGACGATCTATCTCTAAAAAGAAACAAAAGAAAGCAAACTAAGAACACCTGGTGGTAGCTCCTCACACTAAGGGCTAACTACTGTGCAAAACATAGAAATGACAGTCCTGCTAAACAGGAGGACAAATCCACTCCAGTCAGCATACCCTAATACCATATGATATGATGGGATTACTCCATCATCATAGTATAAGAGGAAGACAGGGTGCTGTGTAATAGGTGTTGTAGGTAATACATCAGCAAAAATAAAAGCTTGCATCCTGTGCGTCATGTGTGTCTGACACACTGGACGCACAGGACGCAAACCGTTAATCAGGATGCAAGATGACAGCTACCGAATCTCAGGACGCAATGGTCCTTAGGGGCACAACTCAGGATGCAGCCAGAACATAAGCAAGCCTTGGCTCCAGAACTCAGGATGCAGCCAGAACCCAAGCGAGCCTTGGTGCCAGAACTCCAAACACAGCTAGAATGCAACTGAGCCTGGACACCAGAACTCAGGATGCAACCAGAATACAAGCAAGCACTACTGCAATTTAGAGGATGCAATACCAGAATTAGACCTTCCAGTTGTGACCCAGGTCACATCCATAGATTCTGAAACCTTTCAAATACATAGTATTTCTCATTTTATTCAAGTCGGGTCTATAATACATGGTACAGAAAGAAACCGCCCCCCACCCAACCCTATTCAATAAATCCAGCCTCAACCACTTACCTGACAGGTGATAACAGTACGAATAGTGGCACCAGGAAGACGTCTGAGGTACCATTCGAAAGCTGGCGTCATGTAGAATCAGGCCGCAGAGTATCAGGCACTACACGCAAAGGACCCTCAAGAGATCTGGCATCAAAGTCAGCACTCTGCCAGAACTCTGCCAGGGTAAAGACTACTTCCATAACAGGGTGTAGCTCCACCAATATTGGCGTCGAGTAGACGCGGAAGGTATTATTGGAAAGCTGGCATCGAGTTGAGCCAGGCCACTGAGTATCAGGTACTACGTCTCAAGGGCGCCCAAGCAATCTGGCATCAAAGTCAGCACTCTGCCAAAACTCCACCAGGGTAAAGAGCACCTTCATAACAGACTGTAGCTCTACCAATATTGGCGTGGAGTAGACGTGGAAAATACCGTTGGAAAGCAGCCGTCGAGTAGAACCAAGCCGCCGAGTATCAGGCACTGTACGCAAAGGACGCCTAAGGGATCTGGTATTAAAGTCAGCACTCTGCCAAAACTCCGCTAGAACTCTACCAGGGTAAAGACCACGTCTATAACAGGCTGTAGCTCTACCGATATTGGTGTCGGGTAGACTTGGAAGGTACCGTTGGAAAGCTGCCATTGAGAGGAACCACGCCGCCGAGTATTGGGTACTGCACACAAAGGGTGCCTGGGCAATTTGGCATCAAAGTCAGCACTCTACCAGAAGTGCGCTAAAACTTTGCCAGGGTAAAAACCACTTTCATAACAGGCTGTAGCTCTACCAATATTGGCGCTGGGTAGACATCCAA